TATAAGAATAGCTGTAACTAATGTTTCCTGGTCCAGAAAAGAGTTATTATAAAAATGACCCTTGGATAGCCTTGAAAGTGAAACATGTTCAAATGAATTTTTATATTTTTAGGTCACCTATTGCTATCTGTTTTCGTCCTCGTCGTCCGTCAACATTTGAACATTTTAAGCTTCTTCTCTGCAACCACAGAACCAATTTCAAACAAATTTGGCACAAAGCATCTATGGCTGAAGTGGAACAGAAATTGTGAATTTCATGATCCCTACCCCCTGGGGCCTGAGGGGTGGGGCCAAAACCACAAAATTTAATGCAATCTTTAAAAATCTTCTTCTTTACTCCTGGACATCAAGCAGTTAAACTGTTTGCATGATTGTAATCAGCTTTGAGTCCTCTACCAAAATTGTAAAATTCATGGCCCTGGGGTCAGGGGTTTTAGTGCTAGGGCGGGGCTAAATAAGTATATAGTGAAAATGCACTATTTCCTCTCTGCTCCTGGGTATTAAATAAACCAACCAAGTACATAGTTATGATAAGCAAGAGTGCCTCTACTAAAGTTGTGAATTTTATGGCCCCAGGGTCAGGGGTTCTAGTGTAAGGGCAGGGCTCTATTAATTAATTGATTGTATTCTTTTTAGCTCACCTCAACGAAGTTGGGGGAGCTTATGTAATACCCTCGGCGTCCCCGGTTAAGTTTTTTTTGAGCAATTTTCTTTTTAAGTACTTCTATGTCCTAAATTGATTAGACATGCATGGAAGATGCTTCTACTGTGTTTCATTGTACCAGTCAAAGTTGCAGATGCTGCAATTTCAGCAAAGGATTGGCCAGGTTAAGGTTTTTGGAGCAGGTTAACATTTTTGGTGCAGTTTTTGGTGTTGGTGTCATTTCCAAGGAACTATAAGCCCTATGTTGACCAAACTTGCATGGATGATACATGTAAGGATGTACACTACCAGGTTTGATTCGGATGCTGAATCTGACCTACATTTTCCGGTTGAACAGATGAATGTTTTTGGTGCAGGTCTCATTTACAAGTAACTATAAGTCCTATGTTGACCAAACTTGCATGGATGATACATCTAAGGATGTATACAACCAGACTTACTTCAGATGCTGAATCTGACCTACATTTTCCGGTTGAGTGAACAGGTTAAAGTTTTTGGTGCAGGTTTCATTTCCAAGTAACCTTGAGCCCTTATAATGAGCAAACTTGCATGGACGATACATCTTAGGATGCACACTAATGCACACATGTTTTGGATGCTGAATTAGACATACATTTTTCAGATAATGGACCAGGTAAAAGTTATGGGTGCAGGTCTATTACCAAAAAAACTATAAGGCTTATATATAACATTGTATAAACCAAACTTGCACAAATGATGCATCTAGGAATGAAAACTCTCAAATTTGCTTCAGATGCTGGATTTTAATTACATTTTCATGAAAAAGAACTAGTTTGAAGTTTTTATATAGCTCTATTCCAAAGTATCAGATCAAAATTGCATAAATATTTTCATTTTGGGATGTACACTTTTTTTTTTGGTGAATTGTGTGACTTTGCCTTACTTAAAGACAACATTCGTTGAGGTGAGCTCTGTAATCTCTGATTACTTATGTTTTACGTCCCTCACCAGAATATTTCACTGATATGGAGACGTCACCATTGCCGGTGAAGGGCTGCAAATTTAGGCCTATGCTCGGCACTTACGGCCTTCGAGCAGGGAGGGATCTTTATCGTGCCACACCTGCTGTGACACAGGACCTCGGTTTATACGGTCTCATCCGAAGGACCACTACATTTAGACGCCTTTTAGGACAAGCAAGGGGGTACTAAAGAACTATTCTAACCCGGATCCCCACGGGGGCTCTATTAATTAAATAGTGAAAATTCATGAATTCTTTGAAAATCTTCTTCTCTGCTCCTGGGTATTAAAAAAACTAACGAAGTGCATAGTTATGATGAACAAGAGTGCCTCTACCAAAATTGTGAATTTTATGGCCCAAAGGTAAGGGGTTCTGGTGTTAGGGCGGGGCTCTATTGATTATACATAGGTGAAATACATGAATTCTTTAAAAAATCTTTTTTGTCTGCTCCTAGGTAACAACTCTTTACAACTTATTGAATTGTTTTGCAACACACATCGAATCCTCACGTCATAGATATATTAAGTTACCATTTCCCCGCAAGCACTTAACAGCGGGGTACAATATTCTCTAAAGATTAGCGCAAATAATATTATGGCGTAATATTTTAATTATAAAATAACTTTTCTTATTTTATGAGATTTGAAAAAGTATAAAATAGTTGGAATTTGGCAATAAATTGAAGATTAAATGAACTTTATATAGTGCGTGAAAATGCGTGATTGCGGGGAAACGGTAAATGCGTGATTTTGCGTTAGAAATAGTAAGCGGTATATGCGTTAAAATGCGTTACTGCGGGGAAGGGGGTTAAATAAACTAACTAGCTGTATAGTTATGATGAGCAAGATTGCTTCTACTAAACATGTGAATTTTAAGGCCCCGGGGTCAGGTGTTCTGATGTTAGGGCGGGGCTCTTTAGATTATATATTGAAAATACATGAATTCTTTGAAAATCTTTTTCTCTGCTCTTAGGTATTAAATAAAATAACGTATTGCATAGTTATGATGAGCAAGAGTGCTTTTACCAAAATTGTGAATTTTTTGGCCCCAGGGTCAGGGGTTCTGGTGTTAGGGCAGGGCTCTTTTGATTATATGTTGCAAAATAATGAATTCTTTAAAAAATCTCTTTTCTGCTCCTAGGTATTATATAAATTAAGTACATACATGTAATTATGATGAACAAGAATGCCTCTTCTAAAGTTGTGAGTTTTATGGCTCAAGGGTCAGAGGTTCTGGTGTTATTAAGTAACCAAGCTAAGCAACTGCTAAATGTATTTTATGATGACCAATGGTGCCTCTTTCAAAATTGTGAATGCCATAGCATCTGGCTTAAAACATGAATCAAATTCAATAACTGGAAAGTTGTTGCATAATGCTCAGGTGACCTATAAGGCTCATGGGCCTCTTGTTAATTAACCTTCCTTTATAGAATTTACAGAAAAGAATAGCTGTAATTAAGGTTTTCTGGTACAGATTGACTCCTCTTAGACTAAGAGCCGTTTCCAAATTAAAATTTTCACATTTTTAAAACTGACAACAAAAGGATGCTTAAAGTTATAGGATGTTAATATAAAAGTTGCCTTGTATTTCTAGAGAAGTTTAAAATATTACAAACCGTGTGTTCCTAACATATTCTTTCACTATTTCCTCAACAAAACATCCCTTATAATTTTTTTTTTATTAAGAGAAAATTGAAAATCAGGTGGCTGTGGTTGTCGCTGGTCTGACATACAGTCCGTATGACAGACCAGCTATTTTCGTGGTGGCTTGTTTTATGTTAAGCCTTCAATAATCTATTCTACATGTGAAAGTGTTTTTTCTACTATTTGCAATTAAGGCATTCATTTTTAACTCGATTTTCATTCTTATTTTTTATATATTTCCTTGCTCTAACTTTGAAGAATTGAACAAAGGCGATGCAATATTTTCTTATCTCCTAGGGATTTGTGAATTTTTTTTAAACTGAGGCATTAAATTTTTAGCCATCCATTAAGAATCATCCTTAATCCCGAGAAAGTATCACCTTACCGTTTTCCGCAAATAACATATGGAATACCGCCTTATGATTAAAAAATTGACTTGTCGTTTTCCTACATCTCAGCGTTCAAGGGTTGCAATTTGGCAATGAAAGGTTATATAGTAACTGCGTGAGAGATAAGGGCGCATTTCGGGCAGACTGCGCTGAGTTATGCTGAATTATCTTCAGCACAGTCTTATAGTCGTACTCTAAAAAACTTGATCTAGTATAATTATGTACCTGATATTGCAATAGCACTTTCATTCATTACTTCTACGTATGATTTAACTGCCATTTCTCTCACTCTTACTATCTGTTTGTCTTTGTTACTTTTTCATAACAAAGCAGTTTTATACAATGCTCTCTCTCTCTCTCTTTAATTGTAGCACCAAAATTTGATTTTCTGTCATATGCATCAAGTCTGAAAAAAGTGAAAGACTCGTGAATGGATTTATAGATATAAGTTTCATATTTTATGGTTTCTCATCCATATTAGGCCCATCTATTAATATAATAGGTGATAGGCAGTTCAGCACAGTAAATGATACATATTGTAAATAAGACCATCTTTAATTGAAAAGCAAAGGCAAAGCTCACAGGAAATGACTAGAAACACTAAATTAGTGTAGAGTCAAGTGATCGGAGGTATGTGGCTGATGGGAGCCACCTGTTTGAAAATTCTCTGGAGCTTTGTACAATGGCTGTCAACGAAAAAAGAATACGCGTAATCTCTATTATGGTCAAACTTATTAAAATTATCGTTAAATCCATTGGATAAAACTTATCGGAATATCTGAGCAATGATCATTAGGGTAAAAATATAAAGAAAAAATATGGTTGGGACATTTAACTCACTTCAGCATATCCCCGATATTCGAGATATGGGTGATGAGATAACAAAACTCGAGGTAATGGATTCCAACTGTATATTTTATAGATGCTTATATGTATGTAGATGCATCCTTATAATTTACAAAAAAGTATTTGAGGAGATAAATTAAATTTAGTATGTTTTTTTTAAAAGATATTTACGTATACACAATAAGGGTTTATGTTTTAGAAGAATACACGTCAGCCTACAAATTACTTTTATACCTTAGGAGTCATTTTCCTGTGGTCCTCAAGAGACCTCTGTGTCGCCATGCTCGCTACTTCAGCACAAGTTGCACGTCTGGTCGAAAAGGTGAGAGAATATATATTTATATAGTGCGCGATCTCCGAGGCAATCATGACCTTGACCTTCAGAAAGTTAAAACAAAACATCACCATTAGAGAAAACAATAGTCAGAGATGGTACGACTAGATTACAAAATTTAATATGAAATATATTATGTATTTGAAATAAAAATCTTTTGTATTTTCAATTTCTGTGTGTCATAATTTGCAAATATGAATGGGGGAATAGCTGACTGTCCTTTGTCTGGGCTTAAAGCAAATAAAACCAATATTTCAACATGCTTTGAAAATAGTACATCATAATATATCTATATATATGTAATCATGTATGATCTTGAAATGTTCGAGTGGTATTATTGTTGGCTTAGAATGTCAAAAGAGAGATCACTTGATTTAAAAATTGTAACATGTTCAATTATGTATAAATCATTTACCTTGCGGTAGCCTGTTTAGTAGCGAGAATTATTAAATCCCGTACAGTTTCCCGAGCAACTCTGCGGAATATCTGTTGATTAATAATAAATTACAATTAATACTGTTGTGCTCCTCCGAACTCAAAGATTTCAAGGAGTAAATTGTGCTTTTTCCCTAAAAAATTATTAAAGCTATGTTAAATGAATAGTATGCATACAATTTGTTCAACATTATTATGTTCACATATTAACAGAGAGGATTTAACTTTCGTATATATTTTCGCTCCCAAAGGATATGTGCGGAAATCACCATCACGTTGTTTGTAAAAAAAAATTGTATTGCTTATAAATACCAAAACCTATATATCGCGAAAAAAATGGTGGCGAAAAATTGATGTCATCTACAGCATACTAATATTTTGTTATTCCTGGAAAGCACAGAACATTAATTTCAATTTCATATAAACATTATTTTTTTTTACCTTTTTTGCTGTTATTCTTAGTTCCTGGTACAAATCTCTTTGTGCTTTAATCCTGCCGCCTGAAGTTTGCAGTAGAACTGACTGTTCTTTGCCAACGCTGAGAGAAATGAAGAAACAAAATTAACCTTATACATTTCCGGAACTATACACAATATATTAGCATTGGCGTAATATGTTTTAACAAGACGCATGTTATTCAGAACAAAAACAATTTTAGTGTCTTCATATATCACATACCTGTATTCGGTACCAGAAAAAATTCTGCAAACCCTGTATATATACCATCAAGAATTCTCCGCACTATCTAAAACCAAATTAAATGAAAATGTATATGATTTTTGGCTCAGGTAGTAAATATACATTTTAAAGGTCATATAAGTTTTCATGAAAATACATGTGTATATGAAGCCATGTCATTTCTTACCAATTTTGGAATTCCTTCAGCTTGTCAGAGTTCTACGATAAAAATACAAAAAGTCATTTTGTCTCATTTATCTTATTATACTTGTATATTTTTTAAAAAAGATTATATTAGGACGGTATAAATGTTAAATGAGTGTTTTAAAACTTTTAACATAACTTACCTCTGATGCACTTGCCATTATAATGTTCAAGGAACAGTGAAAGAAAATATACAACTAAACGGCAACCAAGAATAATGCAAACGGCATTATAACGACCTTAATATTATGACGTCAGTGGTATCATGACATCAACCAATTGAAAAACTAAATATTTGTCTCAATATTAACTCGATTTTTCCGGGTTATTTTTACAAAGAGATGCGAGCGTACCTCAGTAAGCTCGTCTGAGTATTTATAATTTATAAACTATAAGTATTTGATAAAGAAAAAAACCCACCTCTCCTCCTTTTACTTCCATTTTCCACAAAAATATCTGGACGGGGCAAAAACTATATACCCCTGAATCAATAAAATTGAGAGATCTTTATTTTATTCATACTTTTTTGTGTTGAAGTAATCTTAAACGATATTATATTTTATGATTCACTTACAGGTTTAAGAACTTAAGCTCTCTGAGAACATAAATATTAGATGAGCTTCCTATTGAGCTTAGTCTCATACTTCCTTATGTAGACCGAGATAAAATGTGAGCTTGTGCAAGTTTTCTGCCCAAGAGCCTGGTAAAGCAGATGCAGATTTAAGCAACAAGTTATGTTGACAATATGCTACAAAATGTACAAGAATATCTTCTGATATTGGTGGACATTTATCATCATAAAAAACACAATGTATTGAAAGGAAATGTTTGTACGTCTCAAAACATTGTATGTTGATCTTGTTCTTTCTGTCACAGAATTGTTCATCAGTTTTCAACCACTTGTCCGATTTCCAGATTACTTCTGATATCGGTGGGCAGACCATCGGAGTTTCCTCTGCTTGAGGAGCAGCTTGCCTGAATTTCTCCAGCTGAAAGTGACAAAGAGTCAGCAATATTGTTAGCTCTACTGGTCAGAGACGAGAAGAGCTTATGCGATAGTAATGCGTCCGTCCGTCTGTCTGTCTGTAAACAATTTTTCAAAATGCTACTCCTCCTACAGTTTTGGTCTGATTTTAATATAACTAAGCACACAAGTAGACTACACTAAAATACATAATTCTGTGTGTGGATTTTTGATTTCGATAAACGGTGTTGCCGTAGTTACTAAAAATTAGAAATTTCTGTGAAATCCTCAAAATGCTACTCCTCCTACAGTTTTGGTCCGATTTTAATATAACTTGGCACACAAGTAGACCACACTGTTAACAAGTTTATTTTTGAAACTCAATAATCAATGACGTAAGCACTACTTGCGCACATATACAGGGTAATACTAAAATACCTAACATCCCCCTTTCTTTAAATTGAAAGTATGTTACATAAAGTCAATGGACAAAGTCATTCAATTTTCCAAATTTGCAAATCAATTGTAAAGTTAATACTGTACTTGGGGAAATGAGCATTTACACAATAGATAAATGGGGAAAAAAATTCACCATTCTTGACAATCATTATAATAATTAATTTGTGTATGGACAATTACCTTAAATGATTCAAAACATCTTAATGCATTAGATCAGAATATCAAACAAAAAGTTTAAATCTTGTTGACTAGGGAACACAATACTATGAATATACATGTACAATCAAATTGTTCAGTACTGATAAACAAAAATGCATGGATATTATAAAACATATCATAAACATATCATAATGACTGTCAAAACGAATGAGTTACATGTACATGCATGGAAAGTCTAGGTCATGACATAGTCCTTAAACTTTGCTGGTAATTTCACAGGTCGCGAATTGCTGCGCGCTTTGTTTGGAGTGGTCATTGCACTATGAGTGGCGCGAGACGTTTTGATTCCTGTTGGGGATTCCAAAGGTATTTGTGGTTTCGGATCCATAGGCATGGTCGCACTCTCAGTGTTTGGACTTCCACCAGTAATTAGGAAAGGGTCATCATCTGACTTGTACGAATCGGATCTGTTTGCATCGTAAGCTTCTGCCGTTGGTTTGATGTCTATTCGGTTTCTACGGTACGACTTTTCATCGGTGTTGATGATGTAGGACCTGTTTCCAAGGGATTCGGTACATGTGCCATTTCCAGATTTTATCGTTTGGGTGTTTCTTCATGCGTACGTTTTCTCCAACATGTAGTTCTGGTAGATTCCTGGTATGCTTGTCATATTGCTGCTTGGATATCTGCCTTTTGCGCATAATCTTCTCGTGTGTATTCTTGATGACTTTGGGTTCTAACAGAATTGTCGCTGTTGGTAACGAGTGGCGTGTCCTCCTAGACATAAGTCTCTGTACAGGGCTGCAGTCCATATCCTTTGTTGGTGTGTTGCGCCAATCTAGTAAAGCTTTCCAAATGTCTGTTTTGCTACAAATACACTTCTTCACTAATCTTTTCGCGATTTTTACTGCTGATTCTGCCTTGCCATTTGATTGGCTGTGATATGGAGATGATGTAGAATGTTCAAATTCCCAATCACAAGCGAAGGTGTGAAAATCTGCAGATTTGAATTGGGGTCCATTGTCCGAAATAACTGGATCCGGTATCCCATGTCTAGAGAACTGCTGCTTTAGACAATCTATCACTGTCGCTACTGATGTGTCTGTAAGGATATCCAATTAAAAAAAGTCACTATAGTAATCTACTGTCACTAGATAGTCTTGACTCTGATAGGTGAATATATCAACACCTAGCTTTGCCCATGGTCGCTTGGGTACACTGTGTGTAATAAGGGGTTGCTTTGGTTGCTTGTCTTGCATTTCATTGCAGGTACTGCATTTGGATATGAAGTCACGAAGCTCAGATGACATGTTCGGCCAAAATACAGCATCTCTCGCCTTCCTCAAACATGCCTCGATTCCAATTTGACTAGAATGGATTCGGCTGAGCATCTCCGGACGAAGAACTTCAGGAATCAAGACTCGGTTGCTCTTGAAGATCAGCCCGTCCTGAACTGTCAACTCATCTCTTATATTCCAGTAGTTCCTAACCGCAACTGGGACTTCATGATGTTCCTTCCAGCCGGTAAGAATGGCAGTCTTAAATTTAATTGAAGAGGGATGTAATATAATGACATGAATAATCTTATGTATGACTTAATTAGTATGTGAACTCTCTAATGTGTAAAGTCTAATAAATCAGTTTCCGGTTTCATCATCATGGTGTTCTAATCAGGTTATTACAGTGTAGTCTACTTGTGTGCCAAGTTATATTGAAATCGGACCAAAACTGTAGGAGGAGTAGCATTTAAAAAAAAATGTTTACAGACGGACAGACAGACAGATGGACGACGGACGCATTACTATCGCATAAGCTCTTCTGTTCTCTGACCAGTAGAGCTAAAACTGTGACTGAACTAAAGTGTGAATAGGGACTTTCACTGATTCATAACATCAATATTTTGTTTTCTTTGCTTCAAATGTTTTTTTGTTGACTAATGCGGAAATAAGAATGTCACCGTATGGTTCCGAATTTCATTTCTGTGCATAACCGGAATTCGAAATATTATTCTGAGAAATTTAAATTTTAGCTTTCGGGTGGCATTTCCGATATAGATAGTTTTGTTTTTGTTGTCATCATTTAATATGTATAACATACATCGATTCTGAGAAAATGTATGTATTTTAAATGATTTAATAGAAAATAATATTTTCTGTTCCATTCCGCGTTTTAGCAACACTACTCGTGTGCCAACTTATATTGAAATTAGACAAAAACTGTAGGAGGAGTAGCATTTTGAAAACTTGTTTACAGACAGACGGACGAATTACTATCGCATAAACTGTTCTGATCTCTAACCAGTAGAGCTAAAAATGACACCAATATGCTTTTCCTACTTTAAAATGAATATCAATTTCTTTTAAGTTATGAATTTTTTTTTTTTTCTGAAATGCTCAGAGGGATTTGAATTTAAACTGAACAGAAAAAATGAGTTTTAACTCTTCGATCCATTTTCTGGTCACTTACTATATATACGATCAGTGAATTATGTTTTTACTCTGAATAGATATAATTCAATTCGTAAATAGAGTGACGATCGATTTTTCTGAACTTTTCTCTCTACTAACAACTACGCAGTATAATATCAATGCATAATTCATCTTCATAATCATTTTTGAAATAAATTCAAAATTACCAATTATTGTCTCTCCCTAGAGGGCATTTAAAACATATACTTCCTTATCAATGTCTGATACAAGTGATTTATAATAGACGAAAAATAACGTAGCTATTTGAATCAATATAAAAGTGTAAAATATTTATTGATAAGCGAAGAAATAGTTTAATTAGTGCAACAAAAGTGTCAAGCAAAGAAGGAAATACTGCATCCGTCCTCGGCGTACCATGCTATCAATTTTTAATAAAATTTATAATTCAGGGAGCATACAAAAATGAACGATAGAGTTTAGTTAGAATATTTTTAGCTCGCGTGGCTGATAAAATGGGAATGTCCATTTATTGTCTTCTTTATAAAATTCGGTTTATTTGTGCCCATTCACAAACTTTACTTTGTTGTACACCATGCTACATGCATGGAATCTAACATCTATCCAAGATTTTGTAAAATAATTAATGATTTCTTTTTAGTTTTAAATTTTTATTTTCAAAGCTGATTATTATCAATATTCTAAGATAAAATTTAAAGAGGTTGGGTCCTGCTTTAAAAAGTATAAATGTTTTTTTTAATCAAATATTTTTGGAATTCACATGATTTGCAAACTTTTTAGAACATGGGCCATAACTCAAGAACCCCTTGGCAAATCATTGTCAAATTTGTTACAGGGTATGCTTGGTCCAAGGTCTACCATTTTTAATAAAACTAGGGTTCAGACCCTTGAACAAGGGGAGATAATCAGGAAAATAAAACCAAAAGTACTGATTGCTAAAAAATCTTCTCCAGAACCACAAGACCGAATTTCACCAAACATGCTTACAAGGATCAGGATATTTTGAAGATTAAAATTTTTAAGGTATCACACTGGGGCAAAGGGCGTGGTCTCAAGGTCACTTCTAAGTTGATCAAAATGTACACTTAATAAAAAAGTTTATATTTTGCTTACTATAAGGACTAAAATCATCAAATCTTGTAAGATGATGCATCTTAGGACTTCACAGCAATTTCACTCAAAAGAAGGTCACGGTGACATTTTTTTTTAATTTTGTGGGCATTTGTTTTCAAGATGATTTAGAGGCATATTTTGGACACTGTAATCCTATGATCATCAAACTTTGTCAGTTGATGCATCTTGGGTCCTTGAACAGGGTTAACTTAAAAGTAGGTCACCATGACCTACCTTTTGAATTTTATGGCCAATCTTTTCTAAACCATTTAATCCCATTATTTCAGACACTAGGAGCTGTAGAATCATCAAATCCTAGTTGATACAACTTGGGGCATTAAAACATATTTATGAAAAATTAGGTCAACGTGACCTACTTTTGAATTTTGCAGGCATTTTTTTCAGATTGTTTAAAAGGCATATTTTGAATACGTTCAGACCTATGATCATCAAACTTTGTCAGTTAATACATCTTTGGTCTTTTAAAAACATCGACCAAAAAGTAGGTCATGGTGACCTTTTTTGGACATTTTTATGGCTATATATTTAGGTATCTTAGGTACTTATTGGCTTAGAATCATCAAACTTTGTCAGTTGATGCATCTTGGGTTTTCCAATTCCCTAAATATGATCACCAAATCAACCAAATTTTTTCCCTCAATATGCTTTGATTTCTGGTTTTACTTTGTTTGACAATTGGTATATCATGTGCGCATCGGCAAAGTATCTTTTTTCGTAAATTGCAATCGCAAATTACACCCAATTTTAATGTTTAACAAATTTATCCAAAAGTGTTCCTATTTTACAATCTCGACAGATTAATATAATTTCTTCATAAATGCTTAGGGGAGAAAAGTTTAATTAATAAATAAAGGCGCAGTATATGAGATTATCAGATCCCACGAAAATAAGATCTTCCAATGCCATAAAATTATTCACAAGTAATCACAGTTCCTTTTGTTTTGATAAGATAACTTTTAATGTATATTTTATTGAAGTTCGTCATCTTTTTTTTCTATAGATACTAGAAATGAGACAATCCTCATCCTTTGTTTATCCAAAAGAACAATGTTTTTCAAGCTTTATAGTCAATAAAATTTAATAAAAGAAAAATGGCTTTAAAAACGACAATTTGATGAACTTGTAAATTCATGCTTCATTTTGCCATGTTTCTAAATTTATTTTCTTCTAGAATAAGATAAAACTCTTCAACAAGCATGCTCTTCATCTTCCTTTTTATTTTTTTCTTTTGTATATTCTCTATATTGATATAGTTTGTTTATTGTTCAATGTTATTGTTAATATTTCATTGTGACATTTTACGTAGGCTCAAACCCGGAGAGAACCCATTCCTCATCAGGTGAAGATCAATTTATGATTGTTTGTTATTTATAAATGTTATATTGATTAAATACTAGGCATAAATAAATTGGGAAAACCGTTGATCACTGCATTTGACAAACTTAAATCCAGAGGTTTAATGCTTTATATCCACCGAGAGGATTGTTAACAAGAATGTCCTTCTAACATTTATAAACGTTGCTTTAACTTAACAGGAGTCATGAAAATCTTCAAATATCAAAAAACTGTTTTGATTATCTTCCATATTATTTTATGTTGCCATGGAGATTTAAAAGCTGGATATTCGTCCATACAATATGGCTACCGATTTCTCTATAGAATGATAGAATCGTACGTGAACTACAGCATACTGGACTGTGTTGAAGAGTGTCTGAGAACCAAGAGGTGCAAATCGGTGAATTATTACAAAGGCGCAAACTTTTGTGAAATAAACTTTGAAAACAACATAAGTCTACCAGAATTTTACCAACAAGCTTCGAACTGGTTATACACCAACATCGAGTACTGGGATGAGGTAAATATCTTTGTATTCTCAATCTAGAGAAAGAAAGATGAAAAAGACAGAGAGGGGAGGGGGTTGAACTTCTACATTGAAATATACACTGAAATATACACTGAAAGATAAATTAACTTAAAGAATCGAACAGTGTATTCCATATTATATAACTATTATTTGTATATTATTATACCCCCCGCAAACGGACTTTTGGGGGGTATATTGAAATCACCATGTCCATCTGTCTGTCTGTAGACTAGATTTTGTCCGGACTATTACTCAGAAAGTATTGAAAGGATTTGTCTGAAAATTTGTACACATATTTTTCACTAGTGTGTGCACCTGATATTGTCATCTTGAGTGGATAATTATTTTGAATTTTACAGTTTTTTTTTTCATTTTATTTTGTGGTTTTGTGCAGACCCTTTCTCAAAATCTATTGCAAAGATTTATCTGAAAATTTGTACACTTATAAATCACCAAATGAAGGTGTGCACCTTCAAACTTCAACTTTATTTGTTTATTTTTCTGCATTTTACAGGTATTTTTTTTTAATTGACTTGTTCATTTTGGGCTCATGTATTAGGTTTGAGACAGAGTACCTAGAATATCTGTACAAAAATGTGAACTACAGCTTTATAACTACTCATTAAAACTAAAAAGAAAAAGGTAACATCATCAAGTGTTAAAAACAGCATTTACATTACACAGAATATAATGTAAATTCATTTGTCTCTTGGGAATAATGACTGGACATGCATCCAGTTCAAGATTAATTAATAAGTTTGGTGTTGGAAGTTGTTAAGGCATCTCTTATCAACCATGTTTTATCTATAATCTCCTGGGAACTTGGCACAAGAATTTAAGATCTCTCTTCTCTTAATTGTAATTTATTTTCTGTCAAAGCACTTAACTACTGGATGACCAGCTCTTTATTTTCAAAATGAATTTTATATAAAGTTATCAAGATTAATTCGATTTGTAAAATACGATTTATTTTTTCAAAAATCACTTTGCAGAGTGTCCTGACACATAATTGCTATAAATATTTTTAAATACAGAAATAAAAAAAAATTACAGTGGAATTACAATGTATTAGTATTGTTGTTTAATTGGATGCACCTTTGTTTCATTCATTAAGAAACATAATGAGCAATTATATTTTACTGCAAATTTTTGTAAGTTAATTGTGCACACCTCTAGATCCATAAAGTATTTGTGAATTGGCACCTTCTCTGAAAAATCCAGCGGGGGTTACTTGTACCTATTGGACATTACTAGTCCTTATTAGTATATTCTTTTTTTTTAAACAACTTTTAAAACAAGTTGTGTAAGTTTAATATTTAACAGTTAATGGTCCTGGTATTTATGTAGAGAACATATGGTCGAATATCAATATCAAATAAATATCTTGATGACTAAAACTACAAAATATTGATTAAAAATCATATGCTATACATTGAAGAAGGGATAGATAAATAATTACCTCTGTCATATCCAATGATAGAAAAAGTTAGCAAGCTCACATATCCTTTACAACTGGAAGTTCCGACATTCCCTGAAAAGGTAAAGGAATAGAAATTTCCTGGTAATATGCACATCTACTCATTGTGTTCTAAATGTCTGCTAAGTTTGACGAAATTCTGTGCAGCTGTTATTGAACAGTTATGGTGAAAAAATCTAAGGTGAAAAGTGCCGACAATCCAGGACAAAATTAAGCGAGTTTGGGTACCCAGTGTAAGAGTTCCATACCTTTATCATTTTACACACAATGTTTTTAAAGATATCCAAAGGCCTGTGGACTAAACTCGACAAACTTGGGTTTTTTGTACAATTTTTACAGGGTAGAACATGGTGTAAACATGAATACGATACGTATGTGGCCTAACTTTTGCATTTAAATCCTCATTAACTCAAGTTCGTCGAGAGGAAAGATTCTAATTTATCATGTGAATGGCCTACGGTTCAAATCCCGACTGGTCCTTTTTTTTGGGGGGGGGGGAGGGGTATTTATAAAACAATTATTAGATTATGATATATTGTATCTGAAATAAAGAAGTTATGACGTATGGCGTGTAATAAATATTGTTTTTTAATAAATATTTCATATTGAAAGGGTCTTCATACATGTATAAATATTTAACATAAACAGGTATTGGCTGTTTAATCTTTATACCCATATTGGAATTAATATGCTTCACTACATGAATTCATAACGCTGCAAATCCGGGTATGGGGTATTTAAATACTAAGTAAATAATTTTATGTAAATCATTTTCAGGTTCATAATTTCCTTATTTCTCATCTGTTGATCAACTGATTTATCTGTATTTCTTGTCAATAATTTTCTTAATTTAAATCTGTTTAAAGATGAATTATCTTCCTTTCTTGTATATAATTTTTAGGCTCTAGCGGAGTCGTGTGCAGGATCGGGCTGTGAAATTAACGAAAAATGCGTCCCTAAGCCATTTGGAAAAATCGAGTGCGTTTTGTCAGGTGAGATTACAAAATAAATCTATAACAATATGAAAGTAAAATAAAAGAAATACTGATAAATATACGTTTTGATTATTTTTATACCCGCGTAATTGAAGATTCGGGGACAGTTTTAGTTCTGTTTGTCCTCAAAAACTATATCTGCGGCCATAACCTTTTGATTGGCAAGATCTCTTTTGAGTACAAAGACATTTCACCAAGGAATCTTGACCAACTTTTGCATTTATTTAAAATTTTTTTTTGATTTGTTGGTTCTTGTGCTTTTATTCTTCGCGAGTGTATTTCTTGCGATACGTGCAAGACATTTTCTTGGCTACCAACAATTTTGGTACTAAGACGTTCAAATTTTACTTGTATATTCACTTTAAAAAGACTTTGTGATTCTCTTGAATACCTAAAAGTTTTACCATTTTAATCTAGGCTTCTATTATATTTTTTGCTTGTATTTCCCATAATGTATTGTGACAAACAGTGCACAATTTTTGAAGACCCGAAATACATTAACTGACAAAGTTTGATCATCATAGGTCTAAAAGTATTCAAAATATGCCATTTAAACAATTTGAAAACAAATGCCCGCAAATTTCAAAAAAAAGGTCACAGTGACCTAATTTTTCTTAAATATGTTTAATAGCCCCAAGATTCATCAACGTACAAGATTTGGTGATTCTAAACCTCTCGGCATCTGAAATAATAAGATTATAAGTTTTAGAAAATATAAGCCACATAATTCAAAAAGTAGGTCGCGGTTGACGTTGTTCAAGGACCCAAGATGCATCAAGTGACACAGTTTGATGATCATAGGCCTTAAAGTTTCCAAATAATGCCTCCATATCAAATTGAAAATCAAAGCCCGTAAAATTTAAAAAGTAGGTCGCCATAACAAACTTTTGCGTTAACATGACGTGAAGTCTAAAGATGCATT